CACACGCACACACACGCACACACATGCATGCACACGTATGCACAGTCACACACATGTGCGCGCACGTATGCACATGCACACGCACGCACATGCACACACACACATATGCGTGCACACACACGCACCCACACACGCATGCACACATGCATGCGCATGCACACACATGCACACGCACACACGCGCACACCCACACCGAAATATATAGAGAATTTTTCTCTAAACCATTTGATCATAGAAATTATATTTTGTTTGTGATAAGAAACTAAATTTACATTGTTTCCTAGTTTGCTGCATTACATTATATACCTACACAAGGAAATGTGCCAGTAGCTGCAATTTTTTTTTAATTTATTTTGTGTGGGTGCTTGTACCATGTGGAGGTTGGAGAACAACTCTCGGGAGTCGGTTTTCTCCTGACACCCAGGATCCAGGGATTGAGCTTAGGCTGTCAGGCCTGCATGCATGCCTCTACCCACTGAACCGTCTTGCTGGCCCAATAGTCACATTTTTAAAGAATGTTAACTTTTGGGCTTTCTAGACTTTAATATGTATGCTATAAAAAATGTACAACATGGGATTCCTTAAATGAATAAATTATTAAGGAGGGAAGAAACATGATCATGCAAATTTTCAGGTTTTAATTATAAAATGCAAGGCCCATGTATCTTGGGGCATAGCCTAGACTAAGCGTGAAAAGTCTTCTCTACGTTTTGATAGAAAAGCAGGTGAGTGGGGCTGCCTTTCCACATCCTGGTGCCATAGACAGCCACCAACTGGAGAAAGTGTCTGAGCTGGCAAATTTTCAGGTTTTAATTATAAAATGCAAGGCCCATGTATCTTGGGGCGTAGCCTAGACTAAGCGTGAAAAGCCTTCTCTACGTTTTGATAGAAAAGCAGGCGAGTGGGGCTGCCTTTCCACATCCTGATGCCATAGACAGCCACCAACTGGAGAAAGTGTCTGAGCTAATTTAAAAGACGTGTTAAATCTGGAATGCATAAGCTCATGCCAAAACCTCACAGAGACCTTCAAGTCAGCAACCAAGTGACCCCTGGGGCCTTATGGGGAAGCGCGGCCCTGGGGCCTTGTGGGGAAGCGTGGCTCTGCCAGCTTCACGCAGCCCAGATGTGATTGTATATTTGAACAGAAAAGGCCTCTCAATGAAGTGAGAAGAAAATCGTAGGTTGTACTATTTCATCAGTGTGACAGATGCACGGAGATGTTGCATTACCTTCCCTCCAGCTCCAGCTAGAATGCTTTGAGCAGATCCATGCTTAAAGGAAGTACTTGATTTTAATAAGCACAGTTACATGACATTGCAGATAATCAGTGCCTGAACAGTAACTTGTTCAGCAAGAAATAGTGATTTCAAAGATACGCGGGTGCAATTATCTAAGAAAGGCTTCCTAATAGTCAATATTCTTAGCCCTTAAATGTCCTGTTTGTGTTGAAGAGTTTGAAACCTTCATTGTTCTTAGGGGTTAGGCTGCTGGCATAACCTGTGATGTTATCTAGTGTGAGGTTTTAAGGAGGAATGGGAACTTTGGCAACCCTGTTTTTATAATAAAGCTTTATTGGAACACAACCATGTCCACTTGTTGATGTGTATTCTGTGGAGGCTTTTTCACTACAGTAACAGAACGAGCCTGTAGCGTCGCCTGTCTGACCCTTCACAGAACTGTTTGCTGAACCCTGGCGTAGATGGTAATGAGCTGCAGAGCACATGTTCATGAAAATTAAGCACTGAGCATTTAAATAATGACCAACACAAATGAAGCCAATCAGATTTAGATCCCTGCCTCGTGCTGGGAAAGACATGGCAGCCTGCGCCGGCCATCACTGGTTTCCTGTACCATATGGAAACCGATTGTTCTGTTAGGAGAGAACTTCCCTTCACCACTGTGAACAAGGCCAAAGGGGAAAGCCAAGTCGTCTTTGGGCATTGTTGAAGTCAAACAAGTGAGTGAGGCCCAACACGGTCACTCAGGCAAGAATCTGCGGTGAGCCCTGCACTGAGGTCTACCTCAGTAAGAGGTAGACCAGGCAGGTCAGGGAGGCATGACTCAAGTAAGGATGCTCTACTCAAGCTTCAGTATCCATAGTAGGTCTGTGCTTTCCTGAAGTCTGTGCCCCAGTGAGCCATGGACTAACAAGACAAGAATGCAGTTTCTGTATCAACCATGAACTGCCAACACCTCTAGAAAATTGTGTCTTACAGAGAAGGACGCTCCATGACCCATAGACAGGAAATAGCCTGAGCTGTTCCCACATAATGGAGGATCACAATGGGTATTTGTATTTTTATCTGACAATTCCCACAAATAAGAAATCTATTAGTTTTTTTTTTCAACAAGCTTTTCTGAAATGTGATGACCATCTGAAATGCTTTACTTTTTCGTTGTTCTTTTTTAAATAATATTTATTTTTATCGAGCTTTTGTACATTTTGTAGAACAGTTCTTAATCAAATTTGGACCCCCTCCCCCATCCATGCCCCCCCCACAGACTTCACGCATTCCGCCATACATGTAAAATTCTATCCAGTCAAGCCTTTGTACCCAGATGTCCCTCGGTGCAAATTCATTCACTGGAGTCTAGTCAGATTATCCTAGAGATCATCGGCAATGCCTACTCTCCCTCACCCAGTAGTGATCAGTCTCCAGTAGTTCCCAGACTAGGACTGGCCCATCACCCATTTCCCTCACTCCACGCTGGGCCCTGGTCTGATTGAGTTGGCATGGGGCCTGTGCTCAGTGCCACCATTGCTGTAAGTTCACATGTGCAAGCTTCAAGTGGCCTAAAAGCCTCTGATTCCCTATATCCAGGAACCAGCCCTGGTTCTTACAACCTTTCCACCCCCTCTTCCACAATGGTCCCTGAGCCGTAGGTGGATAAGGTTTAATACAGGAGTCCTGTCCAGGGACACACACTCTGCAGTCTCTTATTCTTTACAACTTGGCCAGTTGTGGCCTTCTGTGTGTATCACTCTGTTTATAAGGAGGCTTCACTGGTGAGAGCTGAGGGATGTACTAGTCTTCTTTCCACCCCCCGTTCTGCTATGTTCCATGAGCCTCGGGTGTAGAGGTTCCACTGTAGATGTGTCACCTAGGACTGAACATCTCTCAGACATATATTCACTGTGTCTGACCAGTTGTGGGATTCTGCAGTAGCCTCCATCTGTTGCAAAAAGATGTTTCTTTGATGAGTGGTGTACAGTATACTTGTCTGTAAATATAAGGATTCATATTTAGCATTTAATAAAAAATTTCATTTGTCTAGAGATATGACAGAGATAGGGTTTTGTCTAGGATCTATGACCTCTCCAACCATGTGCATTTGGCTGTTGATTTTCCCCATTCTAGAGGACACTATGCAAGCTGCTAAGGTAGAGAATTAATCAGTTGTCCAACCCTTCCCTAAAGCATTATAACTGTAACAACTGGTACAGCAAGCTACCTCCATTGGTGCAGTAGTGGTACTGTTATCCAGGGGTAATCAACAGCTATCTAATTGGACTTAAATCCTTCCCAATGGGAGTGAACTCATGGGTGGCATTGTAAACACAGCCAAATGCACATGGAAAGACATGATCATAGAATGAAACATTTAATAGTAAATAAAACTTGATGGAAACTACCAACATACAAATAAAATGAGCTTCAAGAAATAGTTTGGAAGCTGGGGAGATGGGCCAACAGTTAAGAGCACTGACTGCTCTTGCAGAGCGTCCAGGCTTGGTTTCCCAGCACCCATATGACAGCTAACAATCATCTGTAACTCCAGTTCCAGGGGATCTGAAGCCCTCTTCTGACATACATAGGCACTGCATGACACAAGTACACTTACATACATGCAGGCAATCCACTCACACACATAAAAAAAAATAGAATTCTTTTTTTTAAAAAGAAAAAGAAATAGTTCAGAAAATGCAGGAGAAAACTCCCTCTTGCCCAAACATGCAAAATGTAAAGACTGTCAAAGAGTGGGAGCTGGAGAGGTGGCTCAGCACTTAAGAGCACTGGCTGTTCTTGCAGAAGACCCAGGTTTGAATCTCAGCACTCACATGGCAGCTGACAATCATCTGTAACTCCAGTTCTAGGGAATCGGACACCCTCTTCTGTCCTCCATGAGCATTTGCATAACACAGGTGCACTTACATATATGGAAGCAACACATGCATCTACATAAAATAAACTTTAAAATATTGAATAAAATAATTTCAAAAGGAATGTCAAAGGAAGGGCAAGAAGCTTGATAGAGTGCACACAGTGAGGTATGTGCAGTGTCTTGGAGAAAGTCTGAACCAAAGCTTTCAAAAGTTGTAGCTCAAGAACAGAATCAGAAAAGGAAACGGATGGAGGGTGGCGTAGATGCTCCTATAACCCCACCAAGGGAGGCAAGCTTAAACCACACTAGTAGAAGATAAGAAATAACTATCTTTATACAGACCACATTGGAAAGCAGGCTTCAGCCCAGCGTGCTGCCTGCCTCCAGGCTCTGCAGTCCTCCAGGCTCTGCAGTCCCCCAGTTCTTTAGGGGTGGATGAAATCAGTCGGTGTTTAACAGAGGCTCATGTAAGGGGAAGAAAAGACAAAGCTCGTGGTACAGTTACACCGTGTGGTAGAATTTCAGGATGCTATACTAGGACTGAGTTCATCCACTTGTGGCCAAAACTATTGATTCTTAAAAGTATTGTGTGGCTCTCATCCCAAGCCTCCTGGTGTAGACATTTAACAAGAATCTGAGATGCAGGAAACAGCTGGCCCTGGACTCCAGTCACACACTGGCGTTAGGGACCCGGTGCTGTGTACACGATAACCACCCGAGTGGGGACCATCAGATGCATCTCTGTACATCTACAATTCATGTCGCATGAGGAATATCCAATGTGTGTGTGTGTGTGTGTGTGCAAAACAGGCAAATCTGGAAGGCAGGAATGGAATGTCTTTTGGAGTGACGTGTCATATGGTGTCTATAATAATGTCTTCCTCTGTCTGTTGCAGGTCAATGCACAAACTGGCCCAGTTGGAGAGACTTGACCTAGGCAATAATGAATTCAGCGAGCTGGTAAGCAAACACATTTCCTAAACTTGCCAGACAGGCTCCAGGAGACTCTGTCTTTTGCTGTGTCTTTGCAACCCCAGGTATTAAAGCATTAAGTGTGTAAGTGTGCTTGCTGAATATAAAATAATAAAAACGGGAAGCTGGGAGCTATGGTTGTTTGACTGCACCATGAGCCATGGGGAACTGCTTGTTACTTATCACTGAAGTTAAGTTAGGGTTGAGACAGGTGCATGTTGACAATTTGAGTACTATGTGCAGGAGGCACTGTGTTAAGTGTGTTACATGTTAAACTTGACCTTACATGCTGTCATTTTAACTTTGTATGAGTCTGAAGTGGTCACCGATACCTAATTATTATGTGGCTGCACAGAGATTGAAAAGACTTGATTAACTTCAATCCACACTTTGGAGACCCTGTAGCAGTTGTTCAGAATGGTACAGGGCAGTCAGTCTTGTGACATGGCTTTACCAGTGGTACTGAAATGTCTCTCCCATAAAGATGTGCTGTGACCTTACTACCTGCAAGCTTGCAGAATTCTACCAGCTCCTTCTAGGCTTTGGTTTTCTTTAAAATATGCTTGAAGATCAGAATCACAAAATCAAATTAGAAAGCAAAAAGAAAATCCTTTCTAAGAAGACTCCGCTTTGTGTATGCAAATATCAGTCTCCCATTGAACATCTTCAAATCTCAGGAATCCAATTCATCTGTGGTTCATCAACAGCATCTGCCTAATCAATCAGCCTTCCCATCCTTTCTGTTGTTGATCAATTTGGGGCAAGCTGCTTAACCTCTCTAAGCCTCATTTTCCTGATCTATTAAATGGGGGTTATAGTGACTCCTGCCTTAAAAGGCCTGAGTGAGCATTAAATCAATTAATGCATGTTCACTGGCAAACATTTTCTCAGTCAGTGTCCCTATGCAAGGCCAACAGACATCCATTCAAACTGCAATGTGACTTCAGAGAGAACAGTGTTCTATTTGACCATGGCCAATTTGGGCATTATTCCACCCTTTCAGCTGTTTATTAAAGACAAAGGCCAATTTTTAGTCTAATGTGATTGAAAACCTTTCATCTGTCCTTGCATAAAGATTCTGTCTCTAATCTGCCCTTCTCTGTGCTCCCCACCTCCGAGGAGGACGAAGGAAATGACTTGGCTTTGTGACCTCGGTGAAAACGACTCCTGGCCTAGGACGTTTTCAGTATGACTGCTGCACACGCTGCTGCTGGGCTCTGGGTTTACAGTACACGCTACTAGTCTGTGGCCCTTGTCTACTACAGCATACACTGTTCCTTGTGCTACAGCATCCTCAGAGCCAGAGTATTGGGCATCTCTGACTTCTGCACAGGGCCACGTGTATCCCGTCCTCCCTCGAGCACCAGGGCATCTAGCCTCTGTTTCTGTTCTTACCAGTCATAGCCCCAATAGTGACCACAAAGCCAGCCAGCCTGCTCTGAGGGTCCTCAGAATGTGCACGCTGAGCTGAGCCTAGGAAAGGTAGAGTGCAGAGCTTCTGGTCTGTCATGTGGTGTGGCCCCAAGTGCTACCACACAGCAGTTTGCAAGGGATGTCTACCCAGACACCAGGGTGGGGCAGCCAGCACCCAGGCTAATGTGCCCTGGCAGTATTTTTCTCACTCTTTCTTTGGAGAGGGCCTTTTTGAGGCATGGGCTTACTATAGCCCCCGCTGGCCTGGAACTTATTATGTAGACCAGGCTGGCCTTGATCTCACAGAGATCTGCCTGCCTCTGTGCCCCATGTGCTGGGATTAAAGGTGTGTGCCACCAAGCCCAGTTTTTTCTTGCTCTTTTAAGATTTTTTTAAATTTTTTATTTGTGTGTACATGCCTGTCTGTAATTTTTATTTGTGTGTCCGTGTCTGTCTGTAATTTTTATTTGTGTGTCCGTGTCTGTCTGTAATTTTTATTTGTGTGTACGTGCCTGTCTATAATTTTTATTTGTGTGTACGTGCCTGTATGTGTCTGTGAGTTTTATTTGTGTGTACGTGTCTGTCTGTAAGTTTTATTTGTGTGTACGTGTCTGTCTGTAAGTTTTATTTGTGTGTACGTGTCTGTCTGTAAGTTTTATTTGTGTGTACGTGCCTGTCTGTAAGTTTTATTTGTGTGCACATGTCTGTCTGTCTGTGCTCACAGACGTCAGGAGATGATGTTTGATTGTTGGATTCTCTGGAGCTCAAGTTACATGTGGTTATGAGCTGCCTGATGTGGGTGCTGGGAACTGAACCCAGGTCTTCTACAAGAGCAGCAAGTGCTCTCAACCCCTGAGCCATCTCCTCAGTCATGCACTCTAGCGTTTTTAAAGGAGATTTGTTTTCACGGCCACCAAGGCACTGGTGAGGGTGGTAAAGAACACATGTGGCAGTATTGAGAATATGTTCTGATAGATTCAGAAGCATCGCTAAGACTCTCGAGTTGGCCATGCTGTCCTTAGCACTAGTGTCTTGTTCTGTTGGAAGAAAGAATACAGAGCGTGATTCCCAGACAGGTTTGGCTGTCAGTGCTCTCCTTTCTCTCTGGCTGGGCAGTGTGACGTTTTCATCTAACTTTTTAACCACATCATCCTCATCGTTAAGATCACCAATCCCTGTTTCAAAGGCTTTGGGGCATGTTTTCTTGGAAGAAAATCCTCAGCAAATACTCCATATGTGTTTTGATGAATTTTAGTCACCAAGGACTTTGTTAGCTTTTCATATGGATATATGTCAGTATTTTTACTGTAAGGATTTGGATCCAGGAAGATGAATAGGGTATGTTTAGCTTATGAAGGTAGACCTACCAAAAGCAACTTATAATTACTATAGTGTGAGCTTCATAGTTTCTAAATCATCATCTGTGTGGAAATGATTTGGGGCTCTTTTACATGACTGTGTTCCATTCTAAGCACAAAGTGGGACTTTTGACCACCGTCCATTTTTTCTGCATTTACCATTGGAGGTTTTATTTGATGGGTCTCAATTATTTGAATATAATTATACATTTTACATTTCTAATGTTATTCACTCTTAAGTATATAACTTTATCAGTCATTGTGGACGGACTGTTCTTTCTTCTGATGGTAACAAGTTTTAATAAGGAAACGAGAGACTTTGATAAAAGGCCTCTAGAAACAGAGTCAAGGAGAGAGAAGGGATTCCTTCTTCTGAGGTTGTCATCGGACGATTACTGTGACATGGTAGAGACAATGCAGATGGTGGATGACTGCAACAGAATAAAGCAAAAAACTAAGGCTGGGCGAGCCTGCTGAGAGTGAATGTTGCTCAGCTGGCAACAAACACACCCAGGTAAAGTCTGAGTGCGAACGTCTACGTCTGCGCCTGTTTTAGCATTAGAAATTTCTGACAAATGGAATTACTATGTGTTCTTCAGCAAAATCCCTAGAACGTATTGGGCAGTTTTAAGAATGTAGTATGACGTTTCTTTTCCTTAAAAATGTAGTTTTTTTAATTTTATATGTATGAGTGTATTGCCCACATGTGTGTAAGTGACCTGTGTCATGCAATGTCCATGGGGGTCAGAAGAGGGTTTTGGACCCCCCTGGAACTAGAGTTATGGACAGTTATTAACCCCCATGTGGGTGCTAGGAATTGAACCTGGGTTCTTTGCAAGAGCAGGTGGTGCTCCTGACCACTGAGCCATCTCTCTAGCCCCCAGAATGTTTCTTTCATGGATAATTTTGCTCAGTATAAAATTTTAGAAAATTAGGGCTAGAGAGATGGCTCAGCAGTTAAGAACACTGACTGTTCTTGCAAAAGACTCAGGTTCGAATCCCAGCACCCACATGGCAGCTAACAACTGTCTGTAACTCCAGTTCCAGGGGATCTGACAGCCTCTTCTGTCTTCCATGGGCATTGCACCACATGGGTACACTTACCTATATGCAGGCAATACACACATACACATAAAAATAATAAAAATAATAATTTTTTTTAAATTTTAGAACATTAAAAGAAGTGTAAAAATATTAGTGAAACTCACCCATGATCCCACACATATATGCTAATGAAACTCACCCATGACCCTACCCTACATGGTAGTGAAAAATCACCCATGATCCCATACCTACATGCCAGTGAAACTCGCCCATAATGCCATACCTACAGAGGTATGGCTGTGCTGGTGTGCTCACCCCAGCCCCACTCCTATTTATGAATTCAGGTTAGAATGATCTGAGAAGAGGTCAGATGTGGGACACTATCAGGTTGATATGTACAGGTAGGTCACACCAACCCTTACTGCCCTCCAAGTACAATGCACTTCATCATCACAGCATAATTAGGAATCCCCCAGCTGTGTACTCTGCTTGGTGTTTGCACATCAACACAGATCCAAATAACTAGATTATGTCATTCTTGACTTATAATGTTTCTGTCACTGAATCAGGGAACTGTCAGCCAATAGACGCACATAGTGAATTAAAACAGAAATTGGCCCTGAGCTCTTTCTCACTTGTGCAGCCTGGGGCCTGCTTGCAGCCTGCTTCTGATCTGTACTATCTAATTGCTTTGGATAAAATTTCCTTACTGCTTTGCAAATAAATATGTAAGTAAAATAAAAATAAAACACAAATTTAAGAGAAAAAAATCAATGAGTCTTGGTTTTTTGCTGTCCAGATTCAATACATATAAAGCAAAACATAATAGAATGCATTATGTGGCCCACCACCAGTTTACATGAGCCAGAACTTTACCAGTCGTGGGCAGCTGCCTGTCCCATCAAGTACATTCCTGATGATTTAATTGTTATTTATTTGTTTTTAATTTATGAGTGCTTTGCCTGCCTGTAAGTGCACCTGTATCACACAGTGCCCATCATGGCCAGAAGAGGGCATCAAATTCCCTGGAACTGGAGTTACAGACAGTTGTTAGCCACCATGTGGGTGTTAAGAATTGAAGATAGGTCATCTACAAGAACAGCCAGTGCTCTGAACTGCTGACCCATCTTTCCAGCCCCCGATCCTGATGGTTTCTGACATTTGCTAGCCTTA